TATACTATGTATATACATTGTATATATACTCTATACTATGTATATACATTGTATATATACTCTATACTATGTATATACATTGTATATATACTCTATACTATGGGTTATATACATTAAGCCTCAGATAAGTACAAAGTTTCATAATATTTTATCATCAATGATCATCTGCTATAGTCAAGCGGAATTAAATATCTGGAAGGTAATTTAAAACGATTTCGACAGAAAACAGAAATATCATTGTACGCATTTAAAAACCATTGTAAAAGTTGGGTCTTATATTAGAAACTTACAGCCAATATATGTGTGTCATTCGCACAATGTTAAGAATTGTGGCTAAGGAGTAGGAAATTATTAATATACTTATTTGAACAGAAAATAAACCAGCAACGAGTTGCTGAAATTTTACGGTAACATTTAGAATTTTTGTAACACCATCATTTATCATATTTTATTAAATAACTTTGCATAACTTTAAATACCGTGTTATTAAATAAAAAAGCTTACTTTTCAGAGTAGGGGTTTATAAAATTTTGTAAATGTTATAACCAGTAAAATCGTCATTAATTAAGTTTTACCCTACTGGATGTACACATGACCTCCATTATCTCCCCACCCTCTCGATCTTTAATTCCAAAATTTAACAGTATCGATATCGATACTGTTAAATTTCGATATCGATAAATCGACCTATCGATTTCGATATTTAACAGCATCAATCCACCCTAATATACAAACCACCTTGCAAAATTTCAGAAATTTCCACAAAAAGCACAAAAGCTTCAAAAAAGAAAAAAACTTGTGCCCTTTCACACACGCATACAGAACATACATGCACTAACACCCATACATATAGAAAGCCCCCAATTTCTTCGCATTTCTCGATATTTCAAGGCATCCAAGTCCAAATATGTAGACAATTTGACTATAGGATATGACATCTGTGAGCTGCACCTGCAACCAGGATGGTTCATTGTCACAACAGGATGACAATCCTGTTTGTGTTTTATTTTTTTAAATAAGAGTGAACTCGAAATAAAAAAAGCACAATCCACATTGAAAGAGCATACATTATTGTGACAGCCTTACAATTCTCGACTTAAAACTTTTATGTATTTCATTTTAAATATATGCTCTAGATTTTAGTAGTGTGTTGCACTGTACAGTACATCCTACTTTTCTTGCTGACAACATTGTCATGCCAATCATCAATCTAACTCCATTCTGCAAAACATATTCAACTGAAATAACATTATTCATTTTAGATCAGAAGTTCGTATATCAACGCCTTCTGTCCTTAATCTTTCATATTTGGTCTTCACTTTCATATATGTATCTACGTTACATATATGAAATAAGAAGGAAAGAAAAGTAGACAGGCGCCAGTGTGAATTGATAAGTCTATGTTTTAAAAATTGCTGCCGAAATATAATGCAGAATATACCATTATCAGCATAATTCCACCCTATGACATCTAGTCAGAAAGTATAGAAAAAAATTATAAAGATTAAATACCAAAATTCCACTGTAAGTAATTGTTATCTTGATTTTAATGAATTTTGTTATTAGGGTCATGACACAACTGCCCATGCTATGTCCTGGACTCTATATTTCCTGGGAAGATTTCACGATATACAGGAAAAAGTGTATTTGGAATTAAAGAGCATTTTTCATAATGATACGAATAGGAATATTACTGTTGATGACTTGATGAAAATGACGTATTTAGAATGCGTAATAAAGGTAACTTTTTAATATTTTTAAGTATATCTAAAGATTGGTTTTATGTAAATTTTTATATATTAAACTTTTCAGGAATCGATGAGAATCTATCCTCCTTTTCCTGTCATTGGTAGGAAAATTTCTCATAAAATTACAATAGGTTAATATTACTATTTCACTCTGTTGTTTCTATTAATAATCCCTCGGTTTTAATATTACTTTGTCATTATATTACTAAAACAGGTGATTATGTTTTGCCATCACAATCAAGTTGTTATATTTACATCCATGCCATTCACCACAACCCTTCTGTTTATAAAAATCCAGAAGTGTTCGATCCTGACCGCTTCTTGCCCGAAAACTTCAAAAGTCTTCCTCCTTACGCTTTTCTGCAATTTTCTGCCGGTCCACGAAATTGTCTAGGTAAGTGTTTACTTGCTAAATTGAAAAAAAAAAACAATAGTTTTTCAATAAATTTATTTGATTACAGGAAGTAAACTTGCAATGATTAAAATGAAAACAGTTTTGGCAAATGTTCTACGGAATTTTAAAATTCACTCTTTGGATCCTCAAGACAAGATCGTTATGTATTACGAAGTAGTCATGACCCCAGTATCAGGTATTAGAATGTGGGTAGAAAACAGATAAATTAGAAGCTGAAGACAAGAAAGAACGTTAGGATAATTTTTATTACATATCTACTTGAAAATATATCAAATAATCTAAGCAAGTATAGTTATAAAAGAAACCCATCGCTTTGGTCTTCATTGTATATCGTTATTACACAAATATATATTGTTGTTTGGAACCTTGTAAGCCATATCAAAGTGGTTCTATTCAATTGAAGATTTATAAACTCTTTTTTGTTTATTAACATAATTTAGGAAAAATATAAGGTAAAACTATAATCGTAAGTAGAATGAAATTTCTATAATTGATAATCGTATAAATATTAAATTTGATTATTTGCTAAAAATAATAACAGTTATATGTATTTTGTGGATGAAATGCCTATTAACTTTCTATTAAAATAAAAGTTAAATTGCAAACTCTTTGTTCACTTCAATGTGATATAATATGCAAGTAATATGCAAAATTTTAATAAATTAATCTTGAAATCTAAGTATGGAAGGTTTATTTTGTATAAGTACAATAATCAGATAAAGAATTTTAATAGTTACTTCGTTAGAACAATTACGTAAATATTTTAAGCATATTATTATAAAATGTTTGAAAAATTAACAATAACAAAAAGTTACATGGAAGAATCTAATTTTTGAAAAAATTAAACGAATGTATTTGAAATAAAATATTTTACTTCTTTGACTTGCTGTAACATTTGCTATCGACAAAAAGTATCGAATGTTAAGTTAATTACGCTAAAGTAATTATGTTATTTAGTGAAATTTCAAAATAGCTTATAATTAAACGACGGCTACTCAATAAAAGTCTGATCTATCTATAAACGTTGACAGGTAGGTCTGATTTATTTATCAACGTTTACAGGTCTCCTTCCATTCCTTTCATCTAGCATAGATTTCTCCTGGTCAGGCTGATTTGTAACACCATCATTTATCATATTTTATTAAATAACTTTGCATAACTTTAAATACCGTGTTATTAAATAAAAAAGCTTACTTTTCAGAGTAGGGGTTTATAAAATTTTGTAAATGTTATAACCAGTAAAATCGTCATTAATTAAGTTTTACCCTACNCTCCTGGTCAGGCTGATCAATGGTCAAAAGAGTAGACATGATCAGTTGTTTTGTAATTTATAGATTATATATTTTCTGGAACAAAGTATTTCTTTCTTTTATCGTTTTTTAATGGTCATTCTTATATCGAATCTAAGAGGAAGGATGATTTTATCTGATTCGATAATCTTATGGTACAAAGACGTCACTCGAAAATATCAAATAACTTTGGCTAAAATGTCTTCATCTTCATCATGGCGAATGTTTGACCTGAAGAAAGGTGAATTCATAACACACCTTATGTTGCCGAGATAATTTCCATAGGCCATCCTCAGGTTAAACCAGAGAATCGGAACATCGGAGTTTCAAAACATAGAATAAGTATATCTACTTACATAGAATTAATAACGAAAAATAAGAAAATGACAGGAAAATAATATATATAAATGTAAATATAAAAAAACAAAATTATATATAATAAAAATCACAATTCTCTAATAATACCTTGAACAAACATACAGGAAGGAATAGACAACAATGAAATTGGAGAATGTGGTAATATTATTTTTCCAAAATATTTAGTTATTATACGAATCTAATTATTTTTTAATTAGAAATTTTATTCGACTTATGTCGGACAAATCTTCAGGTAGAAAATTTGGCAAAATGGTCTAAATGGTTTTAGAAGAGAACGTAGTTTTCTAATCCTAAATATCAAAAAGTATCCACTGCTGAAAGGAGACAAAGTAATCGCCAAATTTTTCATTGCGGATTTAATTTACCAAGGTATAAAAACAAATTTTTATTTTTAAAATTATTATTGCAGTTATACTCGAATTAGCACGACTTAATTTTATACAAAAAAAAATCAAACGATTTTAAGTAAGAAAACCTGGCACCCACTCGTTTCGAAGATTAGAAAAAACAAGTAATTTTAAAACATTTGATAATTAAATTAAACTTAATACAAAAAATTTACGTTAATTATTATTGTTGTTATTATATATTTCCAAAAAATTTTACGCTAAAATAAAATTCATGTATTAATTTAATTAATCATTGTGATTAGTATGGCTCATACCACTACTACTTTTGTTATATTAAAACGACGAAAATTGGAACATATGATCAGAAGGCCGAAGAAAACGTCATTATCCACGTTGAGAACATGGAAGAAAATATACTGCGAGGTGTGAAAGTTGGCAGATATTCGACAAAGTTGTTATTAAAATGTTAGGTTGTTAACTTTGAAGTCTATATTCTCACAAATTTATCACTAGAAGAGTAATAATATTGGACAAAGTTGTTATTAATAGCAGCTCTGCTGTGAACATTTGTGGGAGTCTACATGTGAAGTTGGGTTCTTGCAGGCGTGTACTAGTAGAGCATTGTGCTCTATGCAACGTTTTTTCATTAAACTTCCCATTAAAACAGTTTAAAAAACATATTACTGTCGATATTATTTTAAAAAACTAAGAATAATGTATTTAACTTATTATTATTTTAATATATAAAATTATTGAATATTTTTATTTGAAGGGAAAAGAAATGTGAAGGAAAAACAAATAAGAAGAATTATCTAATGTTTAGATAATTCTTATTTCTTTTATAAAAAAATTTCTTTTACAGTCTTAAGGAAAATTTTTTATAAAAGAAATAAAAGAATTTTCTAAATGTAAAGAATTTTCTTAAAAGTAATAAAATTTTAAAGAATTTTTTTAAACCAGTGGTTCTCAACTGGGGTCACATGGACCCTATGGGTTCATGTAACATTACTGTGGATCCACAGAAAAGAAAATTAAATTGTGGTTTACAGTGATATTTTAGTGGTCTATCAGGTAATTCTACTTCAGAACAATTGTTTTACT